TGGGAGTCTGTGGTCCAGGCACCCGAGCCCTGTGCCCACTACCCCTCCACTCCAGGCACGTGGCCGAGGGCATGGAATACCTGGAGAGCAAGAAGCTGGTACACCGAGACCTGGCCGCCCGGAACATCCTCGTGTCCGAGGACCTGGTGGCCAAGGTCAGCGACTTTGGCCTGGCCAAAGCCGAGCGGAAGGGGCTGGACTCCAGCCGGCTTCCAGTCAAGTGGACGGCACCCGAGGCTCTCAAACACGGGGTGAGCCCCCCTTACCCCCCAGGGCCCTTGGAACCCTAGCTCCACTGTGCGACCCTGGGCCTGTCTCTTGCCTCTCTGAACCTCCAAGGGACTGGCTCCGCCTCCCTGGTAAGCCCTTGGCCCATAATTGTTCCTTTAAGCCCCAGTCTGGGCCTTGGTCTCCTCATTTCTGAAACAGTCTTGGGCTCAGCAAGTGAGAGCAAGAATAACCTCATTCTTGCACTGAGTCTGGGTTGAGGGGTGGGGCGGATTCAGAGGCAGGAGCCTATTGGGAGGAGACCTGGGACTAAAGATCAACCCAGGGGGACTTTCTGGAGGAAGCAGGGGCTGGGGCAGAAGCCCTGAGGGGTCCCACTCCCCCTGATCTCCGGCCCCACAGAAGTTCTCCAGCAAGTCGGACGTCTGGAGTTTTGGGGTGCTGCTGTGGGAGGTCTTCTCATACGGCCGGGCTCCATACCCCAAGATGGTGAGCAGGGGCGGGGGGGCGGCGCTGGGTACCCCGCAGGTCTAGGGGTCGTGACCCTGACCCCCAGCCCACACCGGCGTGCCCTCTGCCCGTAGTCGCTGAAGGAGGTGTCAGAGGCCGTGGAGAAGGGGTACCGCATGGAGCCCCCCGAGGGCTGCCCGGGTCCCATCCACGCCCTCATGGGCAGCTGCTGGGAGGCTGAGCCTGCTCGCCGGCCGCCCTTCCGCAAACTGGCTGAGAAGCTGGCCCGGGAGCTGCGCAGCGTGGGTGCCTCGGCCCCCAACGGGGGGCAGGATGCAGACGGTCCCACCTTGCCCCGCAGCCAGGAGCCCTGACCCTGCCCTTGGGGCCTCGGGCCCCAGAGAACTGAGACAGTGGGGGGCACAGGGTGGGGACTCGGGCCAGGCCTGAGGAGTGGCAGGGCCAGCAAGCTGCCCGCCCGGCTCACATCACAGGGGCAGGCTGCGTCGGGTGGTGGGGGGGGCTCTGGGCAGCCCGTGAGCACCATGGCCCCAGGGAAGTGAAGGATTAGTGCCTGGATAAAGACTGGTTCCAAGGACTGGGTGTCTGAGTCTCTCTCTGCTACCACTCTGGGGGCCCCATCACTTACCGGGGGTGATCTGCCTGCCCAGTTGTCTGCCCACTGAGGGGTTCACCAGGCTAGGACCTTGCAGCCCAGAGGGGCATATATTTCCCCTGGGATGGGGCCAGGAGACCCCCCCAGGCCAGGGATCACAGCCACCCGTGGAGCCACTTGCCATCACCCACGGGTCTGCCACCTCCTTTGGTGGCAAGGACCCCACCGTAGCCCTCAGTGTCCCAGGTGCAAAGGACAGTGGGAGAGTGCCAGCGGCTGTGGACATCCGAGTCCCCTGTCCTGGCATCCTCTTTTCCTCAGCCTTGCCCCTTGTCCCCTCCTGGGGTGCTCCAGTGTGGCTACGTCCTCCACCTGTCACGACCCAACAGCCTCACCCGGTGACTCCAGGGAACACTCGCTGAAAAAAGCCAGCCGCACGGCCTGTCCCAAGGCCCTGCCCCTCCTGTCCACTCTCGAGCTGGGGCTGGGCCTCCGGGCTTGCACCCCCAGCTTCGAATCCTGACTCGACCCGTAGCTGTGTGGCCCAGGCTTGCCGTGAGCCACTGCGTCAGACTGAGGGCGTGTCTGGGATGGGGGATGTTAGTGCTAAACTCGGGGTGTCCTGGACAAACTAGAGGGGTGGCCCCCCTCCACGGGCCCCCAAAGCCTCCTCTATGATCAGGCGTCTCTTCCGGGGGAGACGTGAGGACGCTGAGGGCTCACACCAGTGAAGGACTGAGAGCACACAGCTAGTGCTCAGCTATTACCTGTGACCGTCAGCCACCTTCTCTCTGATGCCGCTCCCAGACAGCCAGCCTCTAGGTTGCTTGGAGAGGGGGTTTCTGGCCAGCTCGGTGTGGGCCCCTCCCCAGGACCCCCTGAGCTTGTGAGGGGACACCAGGCCACAGCACGGCCTCCCACCTTGACTGCCCCACCCCTGCCTGAGCGGAGCCAGAGAAATGTCTCAAGGTCACACTGACCTCCTGCAGTTCCCCCCCTGAGCCCCGCCCACCCTCTGGCCTCAGTTTCCCCACCAGCACCTGAAGGGGTTTAGCGATTCTTCCTGGGGGAGAAATGAAGGGTGGGAGGCTGGAGGGGCTGAGAGTGGCCTGGCCCCCGCCTAATCCAGATGGAAGGTGGCCCCGCACTGCCCTGGCCTGCCCCTAATCCGGTGCTCTAAGCTGACACAGCGTCTGGACCTTCAGCCACATCCTGCTAAATCGCCAAAGCCCCCTGCGCCTAACACCCAAATCCCTCCTGCGCCTCTTAACCCACCTGGAGCCAATTAGCTAAATGGGGCCTGTGAACAGAGCAGCTCTTTAGCGTTTCCAAGTGACGAAGCGTTAGGGGAATTACCTGCCCCCACTCCACAGGGCCCCAGCCCACCGTACAGGCGGGGCAGCTGAGGCCTGGAGGGGCCCCAGGGGCCTCTGGAAGCACTCGCCGGCCCTCCAGCCTGGGCTCAGGGCTTCTGGGGCCTCCCTGCCTGGCCAATCCCTTGGGTATCAAGCCCCCTGCCCACCGGGCCGTCCCTCCTCGTCCAAGGATGCTCGCCCCTGCCCCCAACTTCTCCAGGGCCTGCACCCCTTTGCTGCATGTGAGTGTGTCTGAGCGTGTGCACTCATGCCGTGTGTGAGTGCCTGTCTCCATCTCTTTCTCTTTCTCCGTGTGTGCCTTTCCCCTACAAAGCCAACATTCCCTACATTCCCTTATCTATACAAAGCCAGCAGAGATGAGATAAGGACTTATCTCTGCTTCCTCTGCACTCACTCCCTAGTCCATCCACGGGCCTGGATCTCCCGCCTCACTCCGCCGCTGGGTCAAACTCCCTCTGTCCTCCTGGGTCTCATCCTGCCCACTCTCAACCCCAGTGCCCCTCCTCACTGTTTTCAGGGCACCACCCCCCCCGCCTGAGCCCCCAGGCTCCTTGGACTGGGGAGGGGGGTTGGCAAACCAGTCTCAGGGGCTTCCCAAGATCCTGCCCCGGCTCTCAGGCCACTGCCTGAGGGACAGTCCCATCATCCACCTATCCCCAAAACAGGGCCCTGGTATACCCGTCTTCTTCCCTCCTCCTCAGACTTTCTCCCCCCAGATTTCTCTCCTGCTTCTCCCCCGACCTTGCTCTGACCAGGCCTCTAGCATCCTCCTGGCCTCCCATCTTGCACACAATAGCTACTCATCCAAAATGCCATCTGCGCCCCTCCCATGCCCCACAACCTCCCATGGCTCCCCAGTACCCACCCCTTCACAGCCAGTCTTGTCCAGAATTTACAGCCTTGTACTTCATCTCCCACTCTGATCACCTTCATTGAAAGAGCAACCTTCCCTCCCCTGCTTGAGTTTTCTCACCAGGCTTCTGACCACCTGACATGCTATATTTTACTTATATAGTTACAGATTATCTGTCTGTCTGTCTCCTCCACTAGGATGCCAGTTCCAAGATTTGTGTCTGCTTTGTTCACTGCTGTGAACAGTACCTGGTATACAGTAAGCTCAATAAGTGTTTACTGAGTGACTGAAAAGTGAACTTCTATTCATACCTCAAAACCCAGCTAAAATGCCCCATACTCCTTTGCCCTGCACAGTGCCCAGGGGGCCAACTGGAATGGCCTTCACCTCTGGGGACCTCAGCTTCCCCAACACCCGTTGACATCTGTGAATCTGAGAGGTTCTTTTTCTCACACCAGATGATAAAAAAAAAAAAAGCCGTAACCGTGGACATTCATTAAGCACTCGCTGTATGCCAGTCACTGTGCGATGCTCTTTCCTTTCATCAGCTCATTGAGTCCCTGTGAGAGCCCCATGGGGTAAGTCCTGTTGTCGCCGTCTTACAGCTAGGGAAACTGAGGCCCAGAGAGGGGGAGGCTCTTGTTTATATCCTACAGCGAGGGGTGGCAGACCCAGGCTAATGGTGTCCCTCCAACCCCTAGAACCCAGCCCTCCCTCTGTAGCTCAGAGCAACCAGCACCTGGGCGGGAGGGGCCCCCTCAATTAATCACCTCGCTAATCCTCCTTCCACCCGACCCCAACCCCCTTGAGTCTGGCTGGGCCAGGCCAGCAGCAGACGGAGCTGGGCCGGCAGGGGCTGTCAGAGGGCCTGCTGGGAGCTGTGAGCACTGGGCAGGTGGGCACAGGTGGGCCTGGGTGGGAGCTGGGGGCACAGAGAGCCCCCTAGGGCAGAAGACTGGGGGGTAAGGAAGTGTTCCTTAAGGCAGAGTCCCAGCTTCTGCCTTCCTGGGGGTCCTAGACACAGAGACAGAGAGATAAAGGGAGACACAGGCAGTCAGGGAGAGCTCCAGAGGGAAAG